TTTAAGTAGAATTAGAACTGTTTTAATTGCCTTTTATATTTATTTGATAAGTTATTTAATTAATATGCTTTTGATTAAGGGCTTGTGTGTGTGTGTGTGAATGCATATTTATTATGTGTGTATGTGAGGGTGTATGTGTGTATGTGTGTTATGGAGTGTGGTCCGAGTGTAAAAACATATGATTTGCTAAGAAAATATTTTATAAGTTTCAAATGTCATCAAATAATGTTTCTTTTTCTTTCTTATATTTGTAACTTGGTTGAATGTTCTAGCCTATATGTTTGTAAGTGTATATGAGTGTGTCTTGTTAAGCTGTGTATTAAATTTATGCATTTTGTTCATCTATACCGGATAGGAGAAGACTTATATAGGCTAAGCCTGTTGTCTTATCCAATTGTTCAATTCTTTTTGTCCAATAAAATTAGTTGAAATCAAAAACTAGCAATAGTCAGCGTTTTAGTTTTGGTCAGGTACGTCTGGACCCCTCAATCTACACGTGCCAAATTCTCCTGACGTCAGCCTTGGTCCAGATCTGTGCCTGTCGTTTTCTTTAACTATAGGATACTTAAATATTTAATACTTTCCGGTTAAAGATGTAAATTCTCTTGACATACCAGCTACATTACCGTACTCTAGTTCTGAACGAAAAATTATTGTGTCGTCTGCAGTGGTAAAAACGACGTGCTGGTTGACAGCAAAAAGGGAGTCGACCACATTTTAAGGTTTATCAAAGTGACGCAAAATGATATCCTAAGAATTTAGGCATTTTTGATTGATATTTTGCACGAAAAAAATTGAATCCATGGATAACAATTTCATTTTTGATATACAACTGTATTAGTTTGTTGCACATTAACTCTAGTGGTGGGTGATATGTCAATCGCTAACCCCGAGTTTTGTGTGACATATGAACATGTACATTACCATAAACTTACACAAATTCAATCCCCTTTTGATGTAAAAATCTAAAATGCATCACATAAAAATCATGTAAATTGTATGATTTTCAAATAAATTCTCTTCGGTAGTCATTTCAAACTGAACATACTCAAGTGTTTCAAGAACTCTTTAACTGATGACTTCTTAATGATTTACTATTTCATCCTTGCCTATTCCACTGTCTACAGCACTATTTTACATGATATATTTGGATACATTTTTCATCATGTTTCATATATATATATGTTTGAACTCCTCATGGAGATAAGATAAAAATTTAGCCCTGTACAATTTTATTTCGTTCTAATGTTGGGTGATAAAGTTGATCGCAAACCCTGAGGTGTTGTGTAACACATGTACCTTTTTTATAATCTTATAATTTCCACAAACATATAAACATGATAAACTTCTACTTAATTAATTAACTGTAGGTGTTCACACATAAAAAGCACAAAAATTGTAAAATACTATTCATAAATTCTCTCTGGATACAATATTTACAAATCAAAAGCTCATCCTTGGTATGGCTTTAAGTTGAGTTTGATGTAATCCATAGGGCTTATTCTTAAAGATATATATATATATATATGTATATCTTTTCGTGGATATCAGATAACTATGCTATTATATATGCTTTACAATATCTATCCTAATGTTTTATTTCATTGTCTTTGTCTATAATATTCAAGAGGGCAAAGTAAAATACTTATTTAGAGTATAATGAACCTTTCGCATTCTCACATAAATGTCATCATACGCCCAGGCGGAAAACTTCAAGATATCAAACATCTTGTCAGCCAAAAATTCGACAACATCACATATTCTGTTAAACTGTGCAGAATTTGGATTTTTCTTGCTGCAGGCATTTGCAATTTAAAATTACTCATTCCGGTGAAACTGAGATAGAGTATGTTAGATCTACAGAAAATGTGTAGTCTAGCATTTCTGAATTTAGAGATATTTCAAATTATTTTCAGTCACATGAAACTGTTTTGTGAAATTCACTTATATTCCATCTGTTTTTCTTGAAAAATTTCGTGATTTCAATACACTGAAATGAAAACTGCAGTATTTTATGTATTCAGAAGAGGAAAGACATCTACAGCAAAAACTCTTAGAGGAAGATTTGAAAACTATTAACTTTGCATTACTTGCTTTTACCACACCTGTGAGATGGGAATTTGGGATCGCGACCTTTTGTTATGTTCCACTAACAAACGTGGTAGAAAAAACAACACTTCAAAAAAAAATATGAAGACATCATAAAAAGATTTGTAAGATGGAGTGCATCCTAATGATGTGCTGTCAAATTAATGGTATTATTTCATTTGTTTGTCTGTTGCTAGTGACATAGAAGTAAAACAAGCAATACTGACTTCAATTTCATTGAAAATGTCTCTTTTGGGACTTTAAGCGAAAATTAATTTGTACGTAACTACCTAAGAAAATACATGTAGCAAATTCCATTTTGTATATATATAAGTGCGGTGGGTGACATGCCAGTCGCTAACTGCACGTTTTAACTCGTCTGAACCAGGGAAACTCCTGATCAAACTTTGTCATTCATTTCTTTATTTTTGTGTTAATTAACTTTTAACATGTTTGACTTCTAAAGAACTTAAGACAAGTTTTAACCAATCTTGGTCAAAAAGCAATCTTGGGTTATTTTGTATAAATTTTAGATAAAATTCCATATATATATTTCATCATGAATTCAGCTAATTAGAAGCATATCCTATCATTTCGTCAATTTTTAAAATGTGGAGCATATATCAACTACTTATAAATGTTATAATAACAAGAACAACCTGGAAAGGAAGCATGGTCATTTTGTGTGTTAACTTGTTGATAATAACCTATTTTACGTAAATGTACAAATGCAATTTACTTAATTGTTTTCTAACTCCCTCAGCATATCAACTGCGATCTTTCATTATGTTTACAGGCATTTGATTTCGATTCAGTGGCAATTTTCAAGAGGCCTAGCTAAACAAGTTTTTCCAGTCTTCCATCAAACTCAAAGTCAAGACAAACTGAATCTGGAGGTTTTCAAGGTCAACAATTCTATATAATCATAATTACTTAAAACAAATGCATTATATACACTATATGCATTTTAAGAATTACATTTTCTTTTCTTTATTTGGAGGGTGCTTTAAGGCCCCTACTGTATGTAAAGCCACTGGTACAGTACACTACAACCAAGAAAGGAAACTTAACTTTAATATACACTATATAGCTATATACATGAAGGTCTGATTTAGAAATTTAACATATCACCTAATGCTTGAACATTTACAACCTGGTTCCGCCCTCACTAACGGCCATGCCGTAAAACTGGTTATATTCCGTTTTCGGTCCCGATTAGCTGCGATTACGTAGCTTTTTGACGACAAGAGATTTTTTTTATATATTGCGTCGTCAGAGCTACGAAGCGGTCCTATATCAAACTAATGGAGCAAAATCAAAAGTGACATATCTGCATATGAGTATAATGTTATCAAAATATTGCATAATTGTTGAAAAAACGAATCATTACCAATGCAAAAACTCCTTTACGAAATTAACCAAGTCTATCTCTATGGAAAAAATAGAAACGACCGCCACGACAGATCACGTGTCGTCTGATGTTATCTCAATTATCCTTTCTATATATGGCCTGCATGGCCAAATATAGTATTACTACTGATGCTGCCATGTTTACTACAATTTCCATTTTGGGTCACGACACCCATATTGGATGTCTGACCTATATCAAAAGAGAGACAAACTTTCAAACATGGCGGTCAGTTCAGGTTTCGGTTGCGCTTGCTACATGAACTTGATAATTTAACGACATTTTAGACAGAGTTTAACTTCAAGTTGTGCAGGATATCAAGAAAAATAGTTCATACTACAACCCTATTTATTGATGCAGACCAATGTGCTGTCAATTAATTCTAAAATCTCCCGGTGTGATTCACACTGGGCTTGCTCCATTACAAGGCATGGGTATTCAATTTTATACCCGGCTGGGGTAGAGGAGGCTGGGTATTAATATTAGTACTAGGTCCGGATCAGTAGTTTGTTGATTAGTCACCCCATGACCTACAAAAATGGTATTCGCTCAGGTGGGAAATTGAGAACTTTACTGACAGAATTTAGCAGCTGTTAATAAATAAATAAATGATCAATAAATATAAATAATCCATTTATCGATATATGTGACATATGTGTTGTGCCATTTTTTGAATTTTTGTTGTCAGCAACTCATAACTCTCCGATACCAAACGGTGTCGAAGAAATTTGACATTTTCATATAGCTGTGCGCTCTGGCCCCACACCAGACATCTATATGTCAAAATGTCTTAAGTCTGGTATTAGCAGGTCGGGGAAAACCACTAACTTGCGTATAATACGCAAACTCGCCTATTAAACGCCAATAAGGGTATGTATTTGTTACTAAAAATAGCCAAAATCACTTGAATCATAACTTTTTCAAATAGTTTGTCCATGTCGCATTTATTCAGTCATGAAACATAATACAAATGCAAAAATAAACTTTATTTACATGTCGGAAAATACCAAAAATAGATGCAATACTTCCGGTAAAGTTACATCAAGTTTCTAAGTAGCCAACGCTTTCAGTAAAAAAAAAATAGCAAAATATTATTTACCTTGTCGTAAATTAATGCGATTTTTAATAACGTCTGGCAAAAGTTACTGTTAAAGCGATTTGGGTTATTTTTATTAACAAATCCATACTCCAACTGGCGTATAAAAGGCGAGTTTGCATATTATACGCAAGTTGCGGTTTTCCCCAACCTGGTTAGGTCCAGAGGAAACTCGGGTTAGAATAATGCATTTACTAAATTTACTTCACTGACAAGTACATAAAATGTAAATTGTGCAGAAAATAGTATTTTCAAATGAGTGCTGAAGTCACACCTATTTCATATTATGGATAAAACGCTAGCCTTAGTTTCCTCTGGACATGACACCAAACATGGATAATGCTGATAATGCTTTAGCAGTAATTTACATGTAGGCCTAAGCCTGTGATTCTGTTTCCACATGTTCACCTTCTGCAAGAGGTCTTGCACTTTTAATTCATTTTGAATGCTTTCGTTGTCTTCACTGCCACTATCCGACGTATCGGAGTTTGAATTGTCGTAATTGTCACTGTTCATTTCTTCAACTCCATCGGTTTCTGTTTGCATAATTTCGTCTGTTATCGCCGTGTTTTCATTTCCCTCGTTGTCCGCCATTGTATTTTTTAAACGTGTGACAAACGAAACTTCATATTGAAGAGTTCTCTCAACAGAACTCTTCAATTTGAAGTGAAAATTTTGACATGTGTATGAACTTTGGAGTGAAGTGAGAGGTTTGCTTCGTCTGATACGCTCGTGAACCTTGTTTCTGTGCACGATTGATAACCTTATGATGAGCTCGATGATGGATATCTGATAAGATACTGGCTGCACTCACTCCTTTTTGACATATTGATCCGTGGTCACTAACGCTACACAACTGTCTGCTTGATATGGGGGACCGTAGAGTGAAATTCCAAGCATCATCTGGAACCCAGGAAGGTTTGGATCCCGCTGTCGTTGTCCCTGGCTCGGAAAATATGCCGAAAGACTTGTCCGATATTGAACTCCTAAAGGATCCACCACCGGGTCCTTTGGACGTGTACAGAAACCAGGCTTCTTTTGACTGGAAGAAAATGAGATTGTTTATGGATGGAGAAGAAATTGTCAGATACAAGGTTCATATTTAAAAAAAATAATGTTTTGTTCGGTATTACATTATCAATTTCGCCAAAAAATATTGCTAAAGATAAGCTTAACATAACAGGGTGTTGAATGCAATGGCAATTAATGAAAACAGATTCACCATTTCTGCCAAAAATGAAACTGATATAACCAAATCTTAATCATTTCTACTGATTTTGTATAAGGGTTATCTGTCATGTTACCATGGACTTAGATTATGTAAGTCTGTGATGTTACCAGTCATGACTAATATTAGTCTGTCTGTCTACTGAACCTAAATTACCTTGCTAAATATGACATTGAAGAAACCAGGTAATTTGCTGCACCTTTGCAATATATTTGAGATCTTCATCTTTTCTGCATTGTGTTTTTTCTGCAGATTTCTGTCTTGTTATATTTGAATGGTTCATCCCAATAATCGGGCAATATTCAAAATTAAAATTTGACAATCTTGAATCTGTGGGTGTAACAGATATGACATGAATAATTTTGAGCTATGAATATTACTTCCTGATCAATTTTGAAGGTGTTAGATGTATGTCATTAGTGTCATTTCTAATTTAAACCCCAGTCGACGTCCCTGATAATAAAGTTCATGTGGGTATAGTGAAATCAGCTTGCCTATCTATCATTCTTTCTGTCTGTCTGTCTTTGGTCAGTTTTTGTCTAAACAGCTCCTTCTAAACTGATTTCAATAAAAAAAAAAAGCTTCTATATGCATGATCAGTAATTTTTGGGAAAAATTGACAGGATGAAATGGTCAGCTTTGTTGGAAATGCAATGTATAACCATTGCTTACAAACAGAGCTTGCATTTTCCATTGTTTTTCTCATAATTAGATTTAAATAATCCCAAACCCAATTACCACATTGATCACACTTTGTAGTGATATGGTGCAAATGAGGACATGTCATTTTGAGTATTGTAATACCATATCTAATCTCTATTCCAATATTCAGAAATTGATATATATTAACTCAATCTGATTAAAACCATACCTTGATCTATGCTCCGTTCCTTAAACTACACTCGGCTAAGTCAAGTAGATGTAGCAGAGTGCTGATTACGGAGCAGAGTGTAGATCAAGATATGGTTTTAATCCGATTGTTATTAACTTGAATGTTTGCTCTCAGCTCTAGTGGTCCAGCACTATTTCTTTGAATCAATAGGCCTTACAAAAGTAATTCAATATTATGAACAGGTTTTTTTTTTTCAGATAGTTGGCACATATTATATGTGTTGTGTAAAAATCATTTTAAATCTATGATTGCTTCTGTGTTAACAATATTGTTGTTGTTTTGTAGAACATGATATGGACCACACTGGAAAAAGATCCACTATTCTCCCAACCAATGGTAACAGAAACTGTAGAAAAACAAAGAGAATCAACATTTTACAGGTGTAAACGTCTGTTTGAATACAATTTCCTGTCAGAAGATGCGCTGTTTGACAATCCCCTTAAACACAAGATTTTGACAGACTGTCTAGGCATGTATAACTGGTCCCTCGGAGCTAAGTACCAGCTGGATGTGGAGATGACCGGGGGCACAGTTCAGGCCACTGGGTCAGCCAGGCATGGAGATATCGTGGAAAAGATTAAAAGTTTTGAAGTAAGTTAATTTGTTGGACCATTTTTATGTTGCAATGTGTCTGTCTCTTTGAAGCCTTAATAAATACTATTAGGCATCATTTTTTTGTCTTAAAATGACTACTAGTTCAGAACTGATCTAAAGATTATGACTGTAACTGGCCTAGTGGATAATATTTTGGCCGATAGAACTCAATACTGTATAAGTGAAAGATTCACTGATGTAATCAACACATTGTAAACTTGTGCACCTGTGATTGATATTTTGATCCAGCTATTCTCTTGGGAGTTATACCCCTAAGTTGTTTGCACCACTGCTCCGGAAGTGCCACAACAATTTGAATGGCGCTTGATACTTTAAAATACTAACATTGAGAGGATATTAATAAAGTATATGAATTGGTGTTATCTCCTCGTATCAAGGAGTTATGCCCCTTTGTTTACAAACATTGCTCATTCTACTCTTCCTAAAGTACTGCACCAATTTAAATGATACTTGGTACATGTAACACTTGCACTGATCGATGAAAGGATATGAATAAACTATATAAATTTGAGTTCCTTCTTCGATTGATGGGTGTTGTGCCCTTTTGTTGATTTGAAAATGTTCTCAAAGGAACTATTCCTATAGTTGCTATTCTGGCAACAGTTCTAGTTCAGCATGGAGCATCCTAGAAATTCATTAAATTAAAATTATCAATCAGACAATCTAAAGAATCTAACTAACCAACTGTCATACAAAGACTGCAATCATTGACCTTTTACCTGGTGCTGTAATTTTTTCCTTTCGTCAATGAAAATCTGTTGGTCTCAAAATATCAGAAAACATTTTAACTTCTTGTCTAGTTTGAATTATAAAAGAAACAGATTGACAGTGCAGGCTGATGGACCTCTTGTAGAAATAGTTCTGCACTGTTGAAAGTTATCATGGTTTAAATTTTCATGACAATGTGAATACCTTGACATTGATGTGATGACATTGCAGCAATATTATATTGGAGTGTTTTTTTTGTAGTATTTTGGTTGTTTTGCCCTCACTGAACTGAGTCATGGCAGCAACACCAAGGCAATGAGAACCACAGCCACATATGACCCCAAAACAGAGGTAAGGCAATGAGAACCACAGCCACATACAACCCCAAAACAGAGGTAAGGCAATGAGAACCACAGCCACATACGACCCCAAAACAGAGGTAAGGCAATGAGAACCAAAGCCACATACGATCCCAAAACAGAGGTAAGGCAATGAGAACTACAGCCACATACGACCCCAAAACAGAGGTAAGGTAATGAGAACCACAGCCACATACGACCCCAAAACAGAGGTAAGGCAATGAGAACTACAGCCACATACGACCCCAAAACAGAGTTAAGGCAATGAGAACCACAGCCACATATGACCCCAAAACAGAGGTAAGGCATTGAGACTTGCAGCCACATATGACCCCAAAACAGAGGTAAGGCAATAAGAACCACAGCCACATACGATCCCAAAACAGAGGTAAGGCAATGAGATTTACAGTCACATACAACCCCAAATCAGAGGTAAGGCAATAAGAACCACAGCCACCTACGACCCCAAAACAGAGGTAAGGCATTGAGACTTACAGCCACATATGACCCCAAAACAGAGGTAAGGCAATGAGAACCACAGACACATACGACCCCAAAACAGCGGTAAGGCAATGAGAACCACAGACACATACGACCCCAAAACAGAGGGAAGGCAATGAGATTTAAATCCACATACAACCCCAACTCAGTGGTCAGACAATAAGAACCACAGCCACATATAACCCCAAATCAGAGGTAAGGCAATAAGAACCACAGCCAACTACGACCCCAAAACAGAGGGAAGGCAATGAGAACCACAGCCACATACGACCCCAAAACAGAGGTAACTATAACAAGGGTAAATTATGTCAGTGGTACAGTTCTGATATAAAGACCCTCCCTAAAACATGTAACAGTTGTACAAGGTAGTGATATTTGGGTGACAGTAAGTCACAGTAAGTTTTTCATTATCAGTCAAAAAGTAAAGTCTAGACAATAAAATATAGAGTTCATCTTAGTTCCTCGAAATAATTGAACAAATAATGTGACAGAAACAAGGAATTAAGCTTGAGCATGAAAACAGTTTCATGTAGTGAACGCAATGTCATTTTAACAATTTCAGTAGAAATTAGATGAACAATGGAGAAATAAAATTTCAAAAATATTGCTTTGCACAAAATTTGAGCTATGAACTGTAACATTACAATTATAGTTGTGTATTTTTATATTACGAGCTGATTGTAAACCCTGTAAATCTTTATGCATAATGTCAAGATAAATATGTGTGTAAAAATTGACCAAGAACTTATACTTGGTTTTAGAATTCACTGTGTATTAGTATAACTTGTTACAGACCTAAATGAATTCTTATAATGAATCTTGAGGAGAAAAAAGAAAAAAAGTTACAAACGAAAAGAAAAACACAAACAGTTATTATATATAACTCTTTAACTGTTTTTAGGAATTTGTTCTTCAAACCCCTGATTTTGAGGCAACAAAGATTTGGTCTGGGAACATGGGAAAGATGGCTACACATGCCATTGTGTATGCCCAGCTGTACACACCAGACGGAAGCTGTCATGGTCTCCATTCCTTCATAGTACCCTTCAGGGATCCCAATACGCTGCTGGCCTACCCAGGAGTTATTGTCGGTGACATGGGGGAGAAGATTGGACAGAATGGACTTGATAATGGGTAAACTATCTATGCACTTAAGAAATCAGTTGACACAAGAGGTTGACTTTCATGTTTTGTAATAAAAAAAAAAAAATTGAGGAAGAACAACATCAAATGTTCACAGGAAGATGAAAATGTTTTATTTATTTTTTTAAATAATGCACACTACCATTTCAGAACAGCAAGTAATGTTGACTTGTTTAGCAAAATCTTGATGATGATTAAGTTTATAATCTAGAATTTTCTAATATGATATTTGACCTTAAGATAAAGCTTTCTTACTTTGGGAATAAATGTCTTAAATAGCTTTGCCTATTAAGCTTGTCCAATTCCCTGTCAACATTTTATTTATGAACTTTTGCGTTAACATCATGTCATGAAAATCAAATTAGGACAAAATTTTAAAATGATTAACTTTGCAGCTTCATGGCTTTCAATGGCTACCACATACCAAGGGAAACGCTACTGAATAGAACAGGCGACGTCAAGGCTGATGGCACATATGTCACTCCATATAAGGTAATAGAACAGTCGATGTCAAGGCTGACGGCACATATGTCACTCCATATAAGGTAATAGAACAGGCGACATCAAGGCTTACGGCACATATGTCACTCCATGTAAGGTAATAGGACAGGTGACGTCAAGTCTGAGGGCACATATGTCACTCCATATAAGGTAATAGAACAGGCGACGTCAAGGCTGATGGCACATATGTCACTCCATATAAGGTAAAAGAACAGATGACGTCAGGCTGATGACACATGTCACTCCATATAAGGTAATAGGTACATGTATGCTTGATTCCAGTTTTAATTAAACCTGTGTATATTCCTGTAATAAAATCTGATAACCTTTAATATTGTTGTACGCAGGATTCCAGTTTTAATTGTACCTGTGTAACTCTCTGTAATAAAATCCGGATTATTGTATGCAGGATCCCAGTAAGAGGTTTGGGGCATCACTGGGCGCTCTCTCTGGGGGACGTGTGGGTATCACAGGAATGGGTACCTGTAACCTGAAGCTGTGTATGCCAATCGCTGTACGGTACTCTGCAGTCAGGAGACAATTTGGACCTGCAGGAGGAGAGGAAATTCCCGTTCTGGAGTATCAGTTACAGGTAAAATGTCTGACTATCCTGCTTTGGTAGTACTGTTTTACATAGACTAATAGAATATTAAAATACTCTTTCATACCTCTCGGTTATTTTCACATCAATTTCTAATGCATTGTTATACAATATTTACATGTTTCTAGACAATTTCTTTGGGTTTGTTAGTATGTATTGTGAAAAGATTCATGTAGCACAACCAATAAGTGTTTATATGTGATGTTTCGATAATGACTAGTACTGTAGTAATTATATGTATTTGACAAGTTTGAGTGTAATGCCTAGTTATTTATAACAATTGATTGGAAAATTTTCAATTTGGATTACAGCAATGGCGCTTGATTCCCTATCTGGCTGCCACCTACGCATTGGAACACTTCTCTGACTCTTTTTTCATGGATTTTGTCGGGATCCGTGTGGGCATGTTGCTAGGTGACAAATCTGACTGGCAGGCCGAGTTAGGTCGGGAGATCCATGCCCTGTCGTGTGCCAGTAAGCCACTTTCTGCCTGGATTGCGCGAGATGCTATTCAGGAAAGTCGTGAAGCTTGTGGAGGACATGGTTACTTCAAAGGTAAAGCATCAGACTCCGACAAATGTACCTACAAACCAAGATAGATTTCATACAGTTAATACAGATACATTTTACTTGCCTTTTATTCAGTTATTATTTCCTTTGTTTAAGAGTTGGTAGGTACCAACTTGTCACAATCATGTGTACTCAGTGAATTTTCTGTAATTATTGAAGGAGAATGTTAATTTCAGTGGCTGTATTGTGTATTCTATTCGACCTTTCTCATTTTGGGGTAGACCTAGCACGGAGCAAGGAGACAGAGACCCAGACAAGTAAATACAGGGGTCATTTCAAAAATAATTTTATATGGAACGTAGCGTATAGGGTATGTCAGAGTGTGTACACGCACAGGTACGTGACTACAGGTAAGCGAACAGGTAACATAATATGGAGACACATTATACAATTCGTGGCTCACTGCGGCAAGTATGAAACCGTGGTAATTGATATGTCTCCACTAAGGATCTCACCCGGGACCTCTGTTGTATAATTCTGACGCCGAATGAGTTAAAAGAAATTCACCGAACCCGGTGTTAGATTCATTTTCGGTAAAAATGCCACCAATCCCCAAAAAGTTGTAAAATTACACCACAAAAAGGGGCGTAGCGCCCATAGAAAAAAAAACGGGCTGACACATAAAAAATCTGTGTATACCCAATGTCTAAACATCGACAATTTAACAATAACAAAAGATGACATAATGTAATCAAAAAAATAACATAATTGTATTTAATCATTAACTTAATATGTATACATTCTGTGATACTTCCCGGAATCCATGTTCGTCTTGTACTTCCAATCCAGTTTTTTCGGTGTTATGTTGTGGTCTGGTAAATTACAAACATCAGTTTACGAAACGAAGAAAGCAGCTAATACTTCCAACGTCAAAAAAGTAAAAAAAGAAGAAGCTATCACAAATGGTATCTCTTCAACTTTTAGCCAGAATGCTTTCTCTGGGATAGAATATCTAGTATATCTAATTCTTAAATAACTACCACCACCTATTATCCTTTTCTGATGGAGAGTTGGGTTGTACAAATTCTACGTCATATTAAAAAAACAAAAATATCTGAAATACAGCCACATGAGACTGAGTTGTCTCTTGAGAAACGTGTTTTAGAAAACCGCGCATTCGGAAATTAAAGTATATCATACATTTGAACGTGTTCCTCTAAAGATCTCAGCGCGCTCTTTTTAATTGAATTTGTCTAGAAAGAGTTACGTGTGTTTTTAGAAATACATTTTC